GAATAGTGACTGGCTGGGGGTCCCTTTGGCCCCCTAGCCACACTCCCTAGAAGGGACCCCTTCTATTTTGAAGTTGTGGTCCTAAAGCCTTTGAGCTGGCCCCGATTTACCCACGTTATTACGTTCTGGTTTTTCTTGGTTCATTAGCTTGGGCTATGACCGGTAGGGAGTGCTGTCACTGACAGCCCGATGTAACATAGGGTGAGTGGTTTTAGTGTTCCTTGGAATTACTGGTTCTGACAGTTGTCACTGCCTTTTCGGCATGCACTCCCCTCAGCATGGCGGAGTGGGTATTTCGTTCCCCATTGCGTCATTCGACGTATTGTTGAGTTCCCTTCGAAAGGGAACGTCTCAGGTTACGACTGTAACCTATGTTCCCTGAGAACAGGGAACGAGACAATACGTCTCGTTGCCATGCCTCGGGGCCTGCCTGCAACAGTCCCTTCAGACGATAGGATGTTGTCACGGTTTCAAGGCGCCCTTCTTATACATCCAGATTGACACGCTCATCATTCAAGCTGATGATGCACGGGCTGTCGCCGGTCAACCTGATTACTGTGAGTTGATATTTGATTTCAGACACCTGTCACGCCTGAGGCGTTCCCCATTGCGTCATTCGACGTATTGTCTCGTTCCCTGTTCTCAGGGCATAGGTTTCAGTCGTAACCTGAGACGTTCTCCATCCCTTCTCCAAGCTCCAGGAACAATGTTGTGATTGTCATCTTCAACATCTGCAAAGGCTGAAGGCAGGTGTGGTGTGATCTATAATATTGTTACACTGCCAGGGCACTAGGTGGCAGTAAGGATGTATGTGGGGGTCGGAACGGTGTTGACATTAAAGAGAGAATCGATGTGAATCGAGCGAGTCATGTCTTCATTTCTTATCATAAGAACCCAACACAACATGGTGTCAGAAGTGGAGTTATAGTAAGTTAAAGGATAGCGGACATTATATGAGAAGAGGAGGAAGTAACTGAGAAGTGGAGAAGTTGAAGTTTGCCAAGGTTAACAAGCATGTCGCACCCGCAACGAGAACAGCAAGCGGCCGGGGCAGAACATGACGATCCTCCACAGCCTTCTGCTAAAACATGTGCAATGTTCTCAATAAACCCGCCGGAATCCTTCGACTTTTCGAAGCCACATGACTGGGAAAAATGGATAAGACGGTTTGAGCGCTTCTAGAGTGGCTAGCGACCTGGATAAGTCAACAGATGCTAACCAGGTAAACACGCTAATATATTGCATGGGAGACGAGGCAGATGACGTTTTAAAAGGGCTGACTTTATCCGCCGATCAGAAAGAGGTGTACAGCTCCGTCAGAGACGGCTTCACAAACTTTTTCGTGCCAAAGAAAAATGTGATTTACCAAAGGGCTAAATTTAACCAGCGAGCACAGGGGCCGTCCGAATCTGCTGACTCGTTTATTACAGCTTTATATGCACTGGCTGAAGATTGTGAGTACGGGGCACTGCGCGATGAACTGTTGAGGGACAGGATCGTAGTGGGCATCAGAGACAGTTCACTTTCTCAGAAAATGCAGATGGAGAGCAGGTTGGATCTGGCAAAAGCCATTATTATGGTTAGACAAGCAGAGGACATTAAACGTCAACAAACAGATCTGAGAGGGGATGCTATACATGCTAGTAAAACTACTGTGGATGCTGTCCACACAAGGAAAGCAAAGTTTCAAGCATGGAAAAACAAAAAACAGCCTGCTAAACAATACAAAGACAAGCACGAAGCACAATCAGGAGCTGAGCATAAGTCATGTCCCAAATGTGGAAATCTGCATGCTAAGTTCCAGTGCCCAGCAAAGTATGCAGACTGCCACAACTGCGGCAAGAGAGGACACTATGGCAAAGTGTGCAAGGCTACTAAAAGTGTGAGTGCTGTCACGGAAGATAGTGACATATTCCTGGGAACCATTGATGCAGGAGAAGATGCATGGACAGTAGACTTACAAGTAAGGAATACTAATGTGAGGTTTAAAATTGATACAGGAGCGGACGTTACAGTCATACCGGAGCAGGTGTACAGACAAATATGCAGTGGCACCGCACACAACCTCACCCCAGGAAATAAAGCTCTGTTTGGGCCAGGCCGTGTACCTCTCTCGGTAGTGGGTGTAGCCAGAGAAACACTGAAAAATGGAGATAAACGCACCACAGAGGACATTTATGTAGTGAAGCACTTGAACACGGCTTTGCTGAGTAGACCCGCCTCAGTTAACCTCAGACTGGTAGCCAGAGTGGATAGCATTGACTTGGACGCTGTAAAACGGCAATATCCAAAACTGTGCGGTGGGTTGGGTCTAGTCCAGCAGCAGTACACAATCAAGCTTAGACCAGATGTCAAGCCTGTTTCTTTGAAAGTGCCTCGTCGTGTCCCACTTCCCTTGATGGGGAAAGTAAAGCAGGAACTCCAGCGCATGGAGGCTTGGAAGGGGTCGTCTGCCACATGGACGATGTCCTTATGTGGGGTTCCACACAAGCTGAGCATGACACAAGGGTGCATGCGGTGCTGCAGAGGGCACAGGCAGCAGGCATCACACTGAATACAGCCAAGTGTGAGTTCAGCAAAACCAAGGTGAAGTTTCTTGGATACATCATCTCAGCTTCTGGGATATGCCCTGACCCAGAAAAGACACGTGCTGTACGTGAGATGGATCCGCCACACAACGTCAGCGAGCTCAGGAGCTTTCTGGGAATGGTGAATCAATTAGGCAAGTTTGTGCCGAACCTGGCTGAAAAGGACAAAGCCCTCAGAGACCTGCTGTCAAAACAGAACCTGTGGTATTGGGGGCCAGAACAGCAGAAGGCATTCACCAGTCTCAAGCATGAGTTAGCATCCACTCCAGTCCTGCAGTTATATGACCCAAACAAAGAACTGAAAATATCAGCCAATGCCTCGTCATATGGGCTAGGCAGTGTACTTCTGCAGAAATGCAAGGGGACCTGGGCACCTGTGGCTTATGCGTCCAGGGCGCTCAGAGGCACGGAGCAGCGCTATGCTCAGGTGGAGAAGGAAGCACTGGCCCTGACATGGGCATGTGAAAGATTCAGCGACTTCATCATCGGTCTTCATTTTGAGCTGGAGACGGATCACAAGCCCCTCGTGAGCCTGCTGGGAGGACAAGCGCTGGATTCCCTCCCACCGAGAATACAAAGATTCAAGATGAGACTCATGAGGTACATGTATACAATCAAGCACGTCCCAGGGAAAAGCCTTACTACAGCAGACACATTATCACGGGCGCCGTTGAAGGATGGGGGGACTGTTGCGGATGGCCTGATGGAGGAAACTAACATATATGTGGACTCTGTGATGGAACACTTACCAGCAAGCGAAGCTTACCTGTCTGAGCTGCGGAAACAGCTGAGTGCGGACAGCGTGTGCGCGGAGGTGATGAAGTACTGCATGGAGGGCTGGCCAGATCGCAGCAGACTGGATGTGCTTGTGAGACCCTACTGGACTGATAGGGCTGTTCTCAGCACTCACAATGGACTGTTATTGCGGGGCACTAGACTAGTAATCCCTTCTGTAATGAGGAATAGTGTGCTAGAGAAAATTCATGAAGGACACCAGGGAATAGTCAAATGCCGTGAACGAGCCAAGCAATCCGTGTGGTGGCCGGGGCTTAGCAGCCAAATTGGTGAGCTGGTGTTGAAATGCACAGCATGCGTTAAAGAACGTGCCAATGTGACTGAGCCTCTTATGCCTTCCAAGCTACCTGATAGGCCATGGCAGAAGCTAGGGGCTGATTTGTTTACCTTGAAAAACAAAGATTACCTGCTTGTTGTGGACTATTTTTCCAGGTATGTGGAGGTGGCCCAGCTGAGCCCAACAAGGAGTGTGGATGTGGTGATGCACCTCAAGTCAATTTTCGCCAGACACGGCATACCAGAGATTCTAGTCACAGACAACGGGCCTCAGTTCGCGGGGGCTCACATGTCGGCCTTCGCCACAGAGTATGAATTTGAGCATGTAACGAGCAGCCCAAGATACCCCCAAAGCAACGGTGAGGCTGAGCGCGCTGTCCAAACCATCAAAAACCTGCTGAAAAAAGCCATTGACCCTTACCGTGCGCTGCTGGCTTATAGGAGCACTCCTTTGAACAATGGCTTCAGTCCAGCTCAGCTGCTTATGGGGCGGCGCCTGCGCACCACTGTGCCAGCTTTCCCAGCAGTGTTGGAGCCAGCCATTCCAGACCTTCGGTCGGTGCAGTGCAAAGAAAGTAAGAGGAGATGGATGGATGCAAGCAACTACGACCGCAAACACAGAGTGAGAAATCTCTCTGACCTGTCACCAGAGGATCAAGTGTGGATCACAGACACAAGATCTACAGGTACTGTGACAGCCGCACATGAAACACCTAGATCTTACCTGGTCAGTGGACCACAGGGCACTTTGAGGAGGAATCGCCGCCACCTCACGCCCATGTCGGCAGACAACAGCAATAACACGCAAGAGCATGCTGCAGGGGTTGACCTGCAGGACACTTCCACAGACACTGGGCAGGTGTCTCCGGAGTGGTCTAGCAACACTCCCAAAACTGTGAGAACCAGATCAGGCAGGGTTATCACAAAGCCAGATAGACTGAATCAGTGAAGAAGAAAAAAAGCTAATGTACTAAATGGTCTAAACAGGAAGGTTTAGTCTGTTAAGTGTTATAAGAGCTTAATAGGAAGTTGAATCCTGTTTTGGTGTTGACCGTCTAGGGTGACTACTGTGTGTTCATGTGTAGCTTGGAAAACACCCCAAAGAGTTCTTTTTCTTGTTAGTGTAATTTGGTCCCTAAGAGTTTTAGGAAAAATGAGTGTTAAATAAGTACTGTAAAGAAATATGTTATAGTTGAGTATGTTTCACAAAGATATACAAGTGAAGGTAAGAGTTTTTTTTTAGTTTTATGTAATCTGCTGAATACTGCATAGGTCACAGTCTATTTCTTTTCAAAAAGGGAGATGTGGTGTGATCTATAATATTGTTACACTGCCAAGGCACTAGGTGGCAGTAAGGATGTATGTGGGGGTCGGAACGGTGTTGACATTAAAGAGAGAATCGATGTGAATCGAGCGAGTCATGTCTTCATTTCTTATCATAAGAACCCAACACAACAGCAGGTACACATCTGACGCCTTCTTCCTCAGGAAGTTGTGCACACAGAGTGCAGCTAGTGTAACTGTTGTCACTTTCTCAGGCTCCAGTGCAATGTTGGAAAGGAAAACACAGAGTCTATTGGCCAAAATTCCAAATGCGTTTTCAACTGTACGCCTTGCCCTTGATAGCCTGTAGTTAAATATTCGCTGCCCATGGTCCAGATTTCGGAAGGGGTATGGCTTCATCAGGTCGATTCGAAGAGGGAAAGCTTCATCACCAATAAATGCATAGGGCAAAGATATGTTACTCCCTGGTAGTGGCTCTGGGGGTGGGACATTCAGCAGATCTCTGTCCATGGCAGCTCGGAGGTCTGACTGGCCAAATATTCCTCCATCTGACACTCTTCCTTGTACGCCAACATTTGCGTAAATAAATCTGTAATCTGCGTCGACTACTGCCATGAGTACAACAGAAAATCTGGACTTGTAATTGTGGTAAGTACTTCCAGAGTTAGCAGGTGGCTGGATGTAGATGTGCTTTCCATCTATGGCTCCTAAGCAATTAGGAAATTGCCATTTGTTTTCAAATCCCATTGCCACCTCTCTCCACTCTGCCTCCGTTGTGGGAGTCTGAGAAAAAAAAAAGAAACACCATATATAATTAATACATGTAATGTTCTCTCATTTTTACAGAGGTTATACCTTTTTTTAAAGAATTTTTTTCCTAAAGTCCACTAATTATAATTTAGAAAATGATTCATTATCTACTCTGGTTTTGACTGTCTGGGTAAAACACTTGGTTTTGGGACTTCTCCAGTAAAGGCTTCTCTTTATGTGTCCACCCACTGTTGTGAAATGTACATCTGTTATTTACATCAAATTACTTACCTTTAAATGATCATCCTTTAAGACTTCATACAAGGCTTGACAAGTCTCCATTACTATCTCACTGATGGTACTACGGCCGATCCGGTACTGGAAGCTCAGAGATCTAAACGTCTCTCCTGTGGAAAGGAGCATGTGTATAAGGTGTATAATACATCATGGCCTGATTTTACAGAAATGGCTAATTAAGCAAAGATTAGGCATTGAATTAATTAGGTCATTTGAGTAGCTTTTATAAACTTGCCTTAAAAACATTACTGGTGTGCATCTTGAGACAAAACAATGTCACTGATATATTTTAAGTGCATAGGCTATTCTGCCCTACAAAGGCAAAGTGCAGTAACTAAGCAAACAAAGAAACGGAGAAAAAGGCCTTTAAAGTTTTTACACCAGCCAGTCAAACATGTTATGGGTAGATTATGTGGTAATGCATCTCCGAAACGGGACATAATTTAAACCAGATATTTTTTCACAAGACAGAACACGTCATAAAGCCCATTAAAGGTGCAATACCTAAGATCTAGATGCCGCTAGAGGGCGCTACATTCAAAACAACAACAACGGCTTTGCTTGATGACGCCGTGGAGGAACGCGGAATGATGGGAACTGTTGTTTTCAACTCCACCGTGGATAAATCAGTCAGACGGGAATCGAAAATTAGTTGTCATGGATGAGGTAAAGTTCGATTTCTATAAACGTTGCGTTTAATGACATGCTTGTATTTCATTAAACTGAAATAACCGTGCAAGAAAAGTCAGGTTTAAAAGTAAATTAGTTATCACAGATGTTACTGTACGAGTCACTGGACGAAGCTATGGTGGAGAGGGTTTGAAGGGGCAGGTCTCTCGCAAGGAGTTGACGTGGTTGGCCCTCCTTGGTAACTTTATAAAAATAAAAAATCAATTTAATGTCAGTTATCCCAACCTGCAAGAATTCATTTCCGGGAGGTATATTTCGATAACAAGATTGTGGGGGTGGGAGGGAAGGCTAACTTTCGCGTTCGCGAGGCACAAACGCAAAGTCTCTCCCTCTGTACAGTGCACGCGCAGCGCGCTGTATGTTATGCGCGCAGTATGTCTCACTCTAACATTATATCCCGGGAGATTTGAACTAATTTGCGGGCATCAGGGAAACGCTATCAATATGCGGGAGATCCGGGAGACTTGGGATGTCTGCAATGTACATTTGACACATCTTTTCATGTCGTGTAAGTATTCAACCACAGCTACAGTTTCACAAAATTAACGTTAAGGGGGTCGCACACCGGACGAGAAGCTGCAGCGCCGCGTTGCACCACATAATTATTCGAACACATTATTATCTATAAGTGTACACATACCGGCGGCGCCATTCGGCGTCTGTCCGCGGCGCCCAGCAACGTTTCAGGACCGTGTTCAAAACCCTGCTGCGCCACAGAGCGCCATTTACATAGTTTTATATAAAATTGTAATTATTTTTGCCTCAAACCGTTGCTAATGGATCCTGACTTTGCCCTATGCTGCAATATCTATGCATTTAGTTTTGCAGTCATTTACAGAAATCAGCTGCTTGAATGACAATTACTGATTATTATTAGATTTTTCACGTGAGATTCTCAATTCATTCTGTGAACGGATGCTCTGAGGTAAAGTTTTCAGAATGCAGACTCAGCAACGATTGTATTTAATTGTACAGTACAATAACATAGAACAGACATTATCTTCATTTTCTGTCATTAAACATAACAATATTGCTGGCCATACACTGATGAGAAAGTGCGCGTCCGGTGTTCGATAACGTTACTGGAGTTGTCCTAAACGTGACGCGGCGCTTTTCGTCCGGTGTGCGACCCCCTTTACAGCCAACAGTTCACATTCCGAGAATAAATGAAAAGAATATATGTGCTCCATTCCATAACAAATGCGCGAAACAAGCTGCCGTTTGATAGGCGCTAACGCACAACTACAACTACCGCATTTGTCCAGGACTACACGTAGTAAGAGCGGAAACCGAGGTAAGCGGATATGACGCGATTGACTCGCGACTCCCGGCTCACCCCTGCTGACACGTGCCGTTTCCTTGGTTAAAATCTCAATTTTCTCGCGATTTAAACATTGTTTGAAACATTTGGAATATTGTGAGTTATCATCTTTACTAAATATATAACACTGGCCTTGTGATTTTGGGATATTTTAATGCAAAAATCTTAGGTATTGCACCTTTAAGCCCGCCTTAACTCATTTTTGACCAAATATGTAGTTACTGCGCTTTGCCTTTGTAGGGCAGTATTCCTTTCAATTTAAACAGCTCAAACTTGCATTTTGTCTGGGACTAGCTTACATTTTGTCTGTGAAACCAAGGTCATATGATTTTTTTTTTTTATTTACTTTTTACCGGTAGCAAGGAATCGTAGCGTAAGTGACAGCCTCATTCTTGCACTGATTGCTCTTCTCAGTTTCGTGTCCCTTCTTTGGATAAATGGTCTGACTTTGCCAAGCAAGTAGCTGAAATCCTCCACATCCATCCTAAGCAGTTCACGAAAACCCTTCCTGTCACTGTCCTACAGTGTAAATAGAAAACAAACAAAAAAAAAACATGGTGTGGTTGTTTGGTTTACAAAGACAACAAATAATCACCTCCAATTAAAATGTATGTGATTTTCACAATACATATAATTTCAAAGCAGCTTTACGATGATGTTAGTGTTTTTAATAATTTAATAGCTTTGATTAGAGATGGTCGATAGCATAGTTTACATTTGTATACTAGTATAGTTTACAACACAAAATATTTTTAGTGAGAGTAAAAAAAAAACAACCTCCTTCTCTTTAATGTTTAATGTCTTTAAAGGTGCAATACCTAAGATCTAGATGCCGCTAGAGGGCGCTACATTCAAAACAACAACAACGGCTTTGCTTGATGACGCCGTGGAGGAACGCGGAATGATGGGAACTGTTGTTTTCAACTCCACCGTGGATAAATCAGTCAGACGGGAATCGAAAATTAGTTGTCATGGATGAGGTAAAGTTCGATTTCTATAAACGTTGCGTTTAATGACATGCTTGTATTTCATTAAACTGAAATAACCGTGCAAGAAAAGTCAGGTTTAAAAGTAAATTAGTTATCACAGATGTTACTGTACGAGTCACTGGACGAAGCTATGGTGGAGAGGGTTTGAAGGGGCAGGTCTCTCGCAAGGAGTTGACGTGGTTGGCCCTCCTTGGTAACTTTATAAAAATAAAAAATCAATTTAATGTCAGTTATCCCAACCTGCAAGAATTCATTTCCGGGAGGTATATTTCGATAACAAGATTGTGGGGGTGGGAGGGAAGGCTAACTTTCGCGTTCGCGAGGCACAAACGCAAAGTCTCTCCCTCTGTACAGTGCACGCGCAGCGCGCTGTATGTTATGCGCGCAGTATGTCTCGCTCTAACATTATATCCCGGGAGATTTGAACTAATTTGCGGGCATCAGGGAAACGCTATCAATATGCGGGAGATCCGGGAGACTTGGGATGTCTGCAATGTACATTTGACACATCTTTTCATGTCGTGTAAGTATTCAACCACAGCTACAGTTTCACAAAATTAACGTTAAGGGGGTCGCACACCGGACGAGAAGCTGCAGCGCCGCGTTGCACCACATAATTATTCGAACACATTATTATCTATAAGTGTACACATACCGGCGGCGCCATTCGGCGTCTGTCCGCGGCGCCCAGCAACGTTTCAGGACCGTGTTCAAAACCCTGCTGCGCCACAGAGCGCCATTTACATAGTTTTATATAAAATTGTAATTATTTTTGCCTCAAACCGTTGCTAATGGATCCTGACTTTGCCCTATGCTGCAATATCTATGCATTTAGTTTTGCAGTCATTTACAGAAATCAGCTGCTTGAATGACAATTACTGATTATTATTAGATTTTTCACGTGAGATTCTCAATTCATTCTGTGAACGGATGCTCTGAGGTAAAGTTTTCAGAATGCAGACTCAGCAACGATTGTATTTAATTGTACAGTACAATAACATAGAACAGACATTATCTTCATTTCCTGTCATTAAACATAACAATATTGCTGGCCATACACTGATGAGAAAGTGCGCGTCCGGTGTTCGATAACGTTACTGGAGTTGTCCTAAACGTGACGCGGCGCTTCTCGTCCGGTGTGCGACCCCCTTTACAGCCAACAGTTCACATTCCGAGAATAAATGAAAAGAATATATGTGCTCCATTCCATAACAAATGCGCGAAACAAGCTGCCGTTTGATAGGCGCTAACGCACAACTACAACTACCGCATTTGTCCAGGACTACACGTAGTAAGAGCGGAAACCGAGGTAAGCGGATATGACGCGATTGACTCGCGACTCCCAGCTCACCCCTGCTGACACGTGCCGTTTCCTTGGTTAAAATCTCAATTTTCTCGCGATTTAAACATTGTTTGAAACATTTGGAATATTGTGAGTTATCATCTTTACTAAATATATAACACTGGCCTTGTGATTTTGGGATATTTTAATGCAAAAATCTTAGGTATTGCACCTTTAAATATTTATTTGTGTACAGTTGGTGACTTTAAAGACATTAAGGGAAGGAGGGTTTTTTTTCACTCTCAATAATAATATTTTTGCGTATAATGGTATTGCAATTTTTATAATTGAGATTAAGCCTATAGATTATGGTGTTATGAATCAATCAAAGGCATTAAACCATTGAACTGAAACTTTATGTTAAAGGCTAAATTACCCCATGTGACGGCATAACGAAAAACGTTTACTTCTGAACATTAGAAGTATTTAATTACATTGGTGAACAATTAAATTTAAATTTTAACAGTCTGTTTTTGTAATATGTTATCGTTGTGGCAAACTAGCAACATTATTACTTGTACTTCTGGCTAAAAGTAAAAATATATAAGAAAACAATATTTTTTACCTCAAGTTCTCTTTGAAGGATTGACAGCCCATACTGTTCTCTTCCAGCTATCCAGGAACGTGTCCATTGTCGGGTTTTCTTTCTTTTTTTTACGTTTTTCTGCACACAGGACAGCCAATACAACACTCGCCGCTTCATCCATTGTTTGTTTACGTTCGTTTCCGGAAGTCACATTTGCTAGTAGTTTCGCCTTCTCGATGACATCACGCGCGTCGTTAAAGACGGCACACGATGACTGGTCAGGAAGCAACGTGTAGTCTGACATGTTTCTTGTCCACGACAAGACAAGATTTTAAGAGTCAAAATCGCGTAATCTGACACAGTGACTATCGTTACAGACAAAAAAAATCGTGTAATCTGAACCAGGCATTATAGGCATGGCAGCCATTCAAGATGTGTGGCAGTGTTTCAGTGATCAGTTCTGAAGTGTGATGCAAACAATGAATGAGGTACCTGAGTTGTAGGAAACCAGATAGAAAGATTGAGTGTGACGAGAGTGACCCGTCTGTCTTCTAGTGCTGTAGCATGAGAACTTTGAATCATTCCCTTCCGAAACATGCAGAGGCAGAGAGTGTGAATAGGAGCTGTCCATGAGCTAGGAGAAGGAGACAATTTTGCTAGGTATTCTGATTAATTATTTTGTCATTTTGCCTCCACGTTTCCCCGATTCCGCGCGAGCTTCTTCTCATGTCCATACGGTAATCTCTCTACTGTGCGACAGAGAGTCGCGTGGGTATGACGCAATCGTTAGCCTACTTTCACTAAAACTGCTTCTACGGGGCCATAACATAAGCTACAAGGTAATGGAGCTATTTATACATTGTCGTGTTTCTTTAGAAATAAATAAAGGACAAATGAGGTCTTCACAAACGCCTCAGATGTAAAGTTATTCACTGTCAAAGTGACGCCAAAATGAATGGGAATCAATGGGAATGCTAACGCAAGTGAAGTTCTGCTACAAGATGTCAGCTCCCGCGAGGCTTCATCTTCCGGTCGATGGATTACCCCCCTGAAAGTAACGCGTGTCGTGCCTATGGTGTCGTGGAGGGAGCAGCCGCTAGTTCCAAACACTGATAGTTACAGCACTGAACCCCATTCATTTTCAGTGTTTCCAAAGTACACTCGCTGGTAAGTTGATGAAATTACATTATTATTATTTATTTTTTTTATTTTTTTTACATTTGAACGCATTAGCCATCCTCTCATGAATCTAGTCAGTAGTTGTAATTTGTGTAGCCAACTTTAGTTGATGTTTATTGGAAGATTATAGTTAATTGCAGCAGCTAACGTTAGCTTACATGACCAACACTTCACTTTAACGTTAGCTAACGTTACCAGTCAGAAATGTGTAAATTCAGTGAGGTCATAGTTAAATGTGAGGTGGCGCTACATTGTATTCAGTTTTTTGTCAACCCTATTTACATACATGAGGTGGTCAGAATATTAGAAATAAGTACATCTGAATATAAAGCAAATAAGTACAGCAGCACGCCCACAAATAAGACATCAATGCTAAAACGTGTAAATGGAGTTACACCTCTATGACAGTATAGAAAATCCTGAACATCATAGAAAAGCAGAATGTATGGCTGAGCTTTATACGGCAACGTTGTCATAATGCAATACAAAAATTAAATTATCTTTTCCCAAATTTGCATAATTTGTTGGATGAGCAAAATAATCATTCAGCTTCTTCCATAATGTTGTTGTGTAAGAATAACAATTGTGGTTTGTAAATAGATATAGATATTTTTGTTCTCATTTAATTTCAAATTATGTACAATAATAGTAAAAAAAAAAAAAAAAAAAAAACAGAAATCATGACAAATGCCCAAGTAGGTTTTGACCTAACTGTAGGTGTGTACTCTCACTACTGCAATCTCAACCTCATGAACATTTTTAGGAAATATAGGCTTTAAATGTGCATTTAATTCTGTCCATTAATTTATTAACTTTAACACTGTTTCTTTTCTTTACCACTACTGTCACGATGCTGCGTGAGGCAAGTTCCAAAGAGTTCACAAAGGCTAGCAAGTCCAAATAACAGTAGATTTATTCCAGAAGACGAAGGGAGCACGCACACATCAGAGCAATACAAACAATACCGGACAACAGACAGAGCACAAGCAGGAACTAAATACACAGAGATAATTAACAAATGACTAACAGCTGTGATGAAGGTGATTGGTGTCCATGGTGACTGATCAGTGGCAGGAAACTCAGACAGGGAAACACAAATGAGGAGTGAAACTGTGACATAACGCCCCCTCTCGGTAGGCGCGACCTCGCGCCGAAACGGAAGAATGGAGGAGGTCTAGAAGGTGGGCAAGGCAATGCCGAGGGCACGGAGCGAGAAGATGGCCATGGGTAGGCAGAAGAAGCTGGAGGAGGTTCGGGCGGAGGACGGATGACAGGAAGGAGACAGAACTCAAGGTTCCAGGGTGGTGCAGATCGTGGAGCAAGCCAGTGAAGGACCTTTGGCAGATGGGTGATAGAAGGTGCCCAGGCTACAGCCAAGATGGTACCCCACGGCGGCGTCGATGGAGGGAGGAGCCATGGAGAAGCAATGAAGATCGCCATGGAGATGACAGGAGGCGACGACGACGAGGAAGAAACCCACCGTGAAGTCGATGAGCAGAGGTCGTGAAGAGATGCTGATGACCCAGGTGACCGCGACGGAGCCGCAGCGACGATCTCCTGAGAGCGAGGTGGGGATCCGGAGGTCTGAGGGCGAGTCGGAGCGACCGAGGGCGGAGGTGGAGCCTGAGGTAGGGCGGAGTAAGCCGTAGCAGAAGGGGTGGAGAACCAGAGAGCAGCGGATGGTTCGCAAGTCCGCAGCGGAGGTGAAGTGACGTCTGACCTCGGTGGAACCGACGTGCCGAGGGAGTCCGGCAAGACCGAATGGCCGATGGTCCACGATGAGGTCGAGGGTGGAAGGAGCATAGGTTCGGGAGCCAGGGCAACAGGTCGAAGCAGATCGGAGCGCACCGAAGCTTTAGACGGAGCTATGGGTTCATCTTGGGCAGGAGAAGATGGCTCCCGACAGGTCCGAGGTGGTACCCCGATACTGAGAGGCAGAGGTGGTACCGAGGGACTGAAGGGTGACATAGATGACTGGGTGGTACAGATGGCTGGAGACTGGGGAAGAGACTGAAGTCCAATGCAAAAACCAAAAAAAAATATAGTGTTTGGGATGTTTTGGAGAGGTGGTGGGAGAGGGAGGTTGGGCGGGGCTAACATGACAGGCAGATGAATGATAGGATTGGGATTAACAGGTTTGGGTAACAGAACAGGAGCTAGACAAATCTCATCTCCAAAATCAAAAGGTGTTTTAGCCAGAGACACACTCTCAGTAGTGGAGGGGTGGGTGGGGCTTACTTCCGAACCCTCAACGTCCACCAGTACTCCCTCAGCGATGGATGGCTCGGCCGGCTCACACATCTGGTCAGGCGCGCATTGCTCGGGCTCCATGGCGATGTGATCCTCGGTCGCTCTCATGGGCGGGGGCTCGTTCATCGCAGCGGTCTCCGTTGCGCTACCTGTGGTGGGCTCAGGTCGACAGTCCTCGCCGTCTGGGTGGTTCTGGCTGGGCACTGGCTGGGAAGTGGGGCTGGCGGCATCCTCGACGGTGAACGCAGATCCGCAGGATGCCAGCACCCACTCCACATATGACATGAAGCTCCCTCGGGGAACCTCCTCGGATAGCTGTGCACGTGTGGCAGCATTGAGTCCGACTTGCAGGAACGTGCACAGGCAGTCATCCGGGAAGGTGGTCTGATGGGCGAGATCCAAAAACACTTCTAAGTGTTCCTCGAGGGATCGTTCTCCCTGCTCAAGGCACATGAGCTTTACTGCCGGAAAGTCCATGGTGAATGCAGGGGTGAAAACGGAACAAAAACACTGATCGCGAAAACGGGAAAAACAAAAAGGAAGATACAAACGCGTTCTTAGTGGGGTCCGGTATTCTGTCACGATGCTGCGTGAGGCAAGTTCCAAAGAGTTCACAAAGGCTAGCAAGTCCAAATAACAGTAGATTTATTCCAGAAGACGAAGGGAGCACGCACACATCAGAGCAATACAAACAATACCGGACAACAGACAGAGCACAAGCAGGAACTAAATACACAGAGATAATTAACAAATGACTAACAGCTGTGATGAAGGTGATTGGTGTCCATGGTGACTGATCAGTGGCAGGAAACTCAGACAGGGAAACACAAATGAGGAGTGAAACTGTGACAACTACCAGTTCTGTCTAACAGCAACAGGCTTTTTTTCAAGATTAGGTCTCCTCTGTATGACACGCTCTGCTTCTGGCAGGTGAATGCTCTCACACAAAAATCCAAATAACTATATTATTACTTATAGCGTGAAGTTTGAATGCTTTTGTTATCAATGTATGGCGTGTGTGCGTGTGTGTGTGTGTGTGTGTGTGTGTGTGGAAAGATGGTTACTGAATGAAATAACTATGCTCCTAAATACTTTGATCTAATATTGACAGGATAAGGATTCATTTTAGTAGGGCTAATGTACCCTTACATCCTTTCAAACCATTCATCAGAACACACAAATGCATGCATACAATGTACTGTGTACATGTAAATGTATATTGAAATGAATCCTTTTAACAGTAACGTTAATGTTATGAATTATTCCATTCAGTATCTCCAGTTTCATTTCAACTGACCAGACTGTTAACGTTAATGCCGTCTCTCCATCATATTTACAGAAATTTGCTGCATGTATTCTATGTTATGGGAGCACCCAGCCCAATCTCATCCTTTAACGTCATATAGAACGCTATATGCAAAAACGGCGCTATACTACGCACATGGCACCCTTTATCGTTATTATAACACGCGAACCCAAGACGTTATAAATCCTTTAGCGTGAATATGACACGCAGACCCTACCCCACACCTAAACTTAGCCCTCACAGCGCGTGTTATATTAACGATAACGGGTGCCATGTGCGTAGTATAGCGCCGTCTTTGCATATAGCGTTCTATATGACGTTAAAGGATGAGAATGCG